GTATGGCTATATAATCAGTGATGCACTAGAGCACATGGAGTGGGAATTTCCATTACATGTAGCGGAATCCCACATCAAGCAGCTGGACATTGCCAGAAAACAAAGTTTATGACGGCAAGAGATTTCGGATACCCGTCAACATTGGGTTAACATAATGGGGGAGGTCATGTAACAGCAGGTAACTTTGCCAATACTGGTGTAGGTCTTACAGTGGTCTCTGGGAGGAATAGTGTAGCACTTAACTACTGCTACTTGAGGCAATGAAGAAGGCATGTAGGTAATTTTCAATCTGACCAAGTTTTGTTATATACAATCCAATCAGCCATGGAGATGGAAAAAGTACCAGTACAACATACTATGGGAGAAGTGAGGCTGGGCAGGACTAGGTTTGCTAGCAAGGTCAGTCAGGCTAGACAATACACAAGTTTAGGATTCAGATGTAACAGGTCAGGCTAAAATGTTTACTCAAGATTTGTAGAGATGGAAGCAGAAGAAGGATGATGGCAGGAGGAAGAGGGAGTGTTGACAAGTTGTGGTAATATAGGAAGAACAATAAGGATTAAGATTAGTCATAAGTAGAAGGGGTCTGACAATGAAGATTGAGCAAAAGGAGATAGGGTGGATCATGATGTGAGGTAAGAGGTGTATATTCTGAAGGTTGAATAATGATCTAGGTGGATGACTGGGACTGGATTAGAGCTGACAAAGCTTCAAGGAGGGGGTAGTAGTGGCAGTGGTCAGAGCCATGTTCAAAGGAGGGCAAAGGAGAGTCAAATTTAGATCTAGTATTTGTACTCCAGATTATCTAGTCTTGTAAATTGCACATTTACTTTTCTAAATTGTTTACCAAATTATAATTCAGGTTAAAGGTGTATTGAGAATCATTACAATTTCTACATTACATTGCAATAATAAACACATACTTACAATTCAAAGTCAGATGGGCCTAGTACTAGACTACCTAGTAATAAAAATATTGGTTAACCAACTGGCACCAGATACATGTACTGTCTACTATAGCTTAAGGAATTTTCTTTTTCTTTAGACATAGCTGGCTCCATGTGTGCTAAGCCACCACAAAGAAAATCACTAAACCCTATAGGACCTTAACCTGATTTCCCATCCCCTTTATCCCCCCCCCCCTTTTTTTTTAAGGGGGGGGGGATAATTTAAGTGGTTGATGGTTAATGGTTAATGGTTAACCCCTTGATGCCTAGTGACGCCGATCGGTGTGTAAACAAAGAGCTCAAAAGCTGGCGTGCAGCCAAACGAGCCGGCGGCGTGCCAAAGCGCGGCGAGCCAGTGATTCGGGCTGATGTCCCCTACTCACACACTCAAAGTCAGCGCGCCGCCTTTGTTTGTTTAAGCGTAGAGTTTATTTTTTTCTTTTGTACACCCGGCGCCATTGGGTTAAAAGCAAGATAAATGTGCTAGACATCTAAGGTCATGTAGCACTATAGTTAATGTTAGTGAAGGGTGGTTGAGTTAGTGATTAGTTGTCTAAGCTGGGCAAAGGAATTAGTGAGTGAAAGGGTTAAGGTCGGGTGTTATATTAGATAAAGGGTATGCATAAGAAAGGTTTCTTGAAGGCATACAATAGATGGGTTATAAGAGGAAAGGATATGATGGTCAGGTCTGTGGGAGCGGAAACCGCGAATATTCCAATGAAGGATAGTTATACTTTCGTTGATTTAGTGATATAGATTGTAGTACGTGTTGGAGAATTTGAAGGGGAAGCAGCTAGAGGGTGGGATAAGGACTGAGAGGTTTGAGATGGGAGAGGTGTGGGAGTTGGTGTTCTATCAGGAGGGGTATTAGGAGATGGAGGGTCTGAGGAAGGGGATACTTGTGACATAAGGGATTCACGTGTGTATCCAGGAGGGAGTGGAAGGGATAGAGGGGATGGTGGGAGAGTTAATGTGGGCAGGGTTGGGGTCAGGGGGAATGGGCTGTGTTGGGAGGGGGTAGGAGGGTAGGGTGTAGGGGGGATATCGTTAGGAGGAGGATGGATATCAGCAATTACTTGGAGTGTGGAAGGAGCAGGAGTTGTAGGTTGAGTGTCGGTTTTCATTAAGTAATCTTGAATATTTTCAATAGTTTCTTCTGTGGAGTTGGTTGGGGAGTTTTGGGGGATAAAGGATTTCTTGTGAGGGGGGGAAGAGAGGACTGGTGTCTCAAGAGTACGGGCAAAGGATGGTGGGGGTGATTGTGTGGTAGGGGAAGAGGGGGTGGAACGTTTGTTCTGTCTGTTACGGGGAGTGCGAGGAGGGAGAGGGGAAGGTGTTGGGGTTGTAGTGGTGATTGGAGTATCTGTAGTAGAGATTGGAGTTTCTGGATTTAGGATGGCAAAAGAGTTTGACTGGGGAAGGTAGGTGGGGTTAGTGGGGGGGTTAGATGTAGGAGGGGTGGGTTTAGGAGAAGTATTAGGATGAGCAGTATTACTGGAGTAAGGAGTAAGAGAGAATCCATGTCGACGTGCTTCCTGTCTGGCTTCACGCAGTGTGAGTCCGAGTTTGAATCTGAGAGTTGCTACCTCAGATTCAAATTTGTAGGTGGGACAGCCCCTATAAAATACATTATGGGGGCCGCCACAGTTGGCACATGTGCGTGATTGTGCAGAGCAGTTAGATCGGGTATGGCCAGGTTGGGCACATAATGGGCATCTGGCTGTGGAACGGCAGTGTTTGGCTGGGTGTCCTAGACGCCAACAATTTTGGCACTGACGTGGAGGAGGTTGGTATGGACGAACAGGGAGGGATTCTCCTCCTATGTAGACGTTAAAGGGAAGGTCATGTCTACGGAAGGTAATTTTGGCTATGTTAGTGGGTTTCTTTCGATGACCTCTGGGGGGGATGGAATAGCATTGTACTGATGTTGCATCGTAGTCTGTGAGACAGGCAAGTAGATCTTCTCCACAATCTGACCAATCTTTGTCATAGATTGGGCAATTTGTTGGCGAGATTGAGACTGTTCCGGTGCAAGTATTGAGGGTTGGATGGGGTTCTGCTAGGATGGGGTTACCATATAGGTCAGTTAGTTTTGTTAATGCTATGGCTTGGTTTTCGGATGTTACTGTTACAAGACGGGAGCGGTCGGGTCGGCTACGGAAAGACTTTACCTACTTGTTTTTGGAGGCATTGTTGGAAGAGAAGGGTGTTGTCAGAGTAGGGAGCTGTGGGAGGGATCACAAAAAATCGGTCCCATTTGGCTGCACTGAAGAGAGTATTCAAGATTGTTTTAGAGATAGTGGTGGTAGAAGGGCGAGGGCGTGACGAAGATGGAGTAGTGTTGATGGAGGTAGTGTTATGGAGAGGTGGGCTATAAGGCTGTAAGGTATTAATAAGGGAGGATGGGGTGGTTGATGTTGGAGGTTGTGGGGGTAGAGGTGTTGAAGTTGGGCATGCTGGGAGAGTGGAAATGTTCCTTGAGGGTTGATTGTTGGCTACTGTACTAATAGGCATTGGTGAAGGGGTAGTTATTGCAGTGTTTGGAGCCGTGGTCAAAGGAGAGCCTGGGGTCGGGGAATCGGGTGGGTTTACTTCGTTGGGGCTATTTGATAAAGGGGCAAGCCTCATTGCCCCTAACAGTGGGGATATATTTTCATTACTGGCCATGGGAAGCCTGGATTATGTTGGGGATAAAAGCAGTCCACCCCTCAGGGTCCCCTTGAGGGGTAAGGGCTAGATAACTAAATCAGGGGAATACCGTGCCCATGGCTCCCTCAGGCCGTTCAGGATTGGCACAAAGTCAGCCTTTCATCCTTTCAGCACGGCTTTCACACCTTAGGAGGTGGATAGCAGAAGGGTTTGGTGAAGGGACAGAAACAAAAGTGGGAAGGGAAAAAAAAAGACCATGCATAATTAGTTGAGTCGAGGGCTGAGTCCCAAGGTTGGGGAGTTCCCCATCATTGGGTCCCAGTCTCCGCCTCCTAAGCCCCCCCACGACAACAACGGGCAAGGGATTGGGGGGGAGGGGGATGGAGGATGGATGAGGTATATGCATGTTATCTTGGGTCATGATTTGATAGTTCATGACCCAAGAGATGGAGACAATTCCAGTACAAGTACTTAGCGAAGGATGAGGCTGACCAGGACTGGGTTTGCCAGTGAAGTCACTCAGGGTTGATATTACTTTAGGTTGGGATTTGGGTGTGACTACAGAAGCAATCTTTGCCAACTTGTTTTTGGAGGCATAGCTGGAAGAGGAGCAAGTTCTCAGAGTAAGGGGCTATAGTGGGGGGTAGTAGAAGGACAAGCATGTGTGGAAGAGGGAGTAGTAAGGTAGTACTGCAGGGAGGTGGAAAATAAGACTGCATAGTATTAACCCAATGACGCCGGGTGTACTAAAGGAAAATAAAACTCTACGCTCTGGCAAACAAAGGCAGTACGGGGCGTCAGCCCGAATCACTGGCTCGCCGCGCTTTGGCGCGCCGCCGGCTGGTTTGGCCGCACGCCACCTTTCGAGCGATTTGTTTACACGCGTATCGCCGTCACCCGGCGGCAAGGGGTTAATAAGGGAGGAGGGGGTAGTAGATAAAGAAAGCTGTAAGGTGGTGGTTATTGATGGTGGAAGGTTTTCTGGAGTTTGAGTAATGACCAGGGTGAATAATTTGGACTGGACAGGTGATGGTACTCTTTGAGGAAGGAGTAGTAGTATCAGTGGTCAGAGCCATGTTCAAAGGAGAGCCTGAGGCACAAAGCCACCCTTTCATCCTTTCAAGATGGCTTTCACAACCTAGAAAGTGGATGGTAGAAGAGGGTTTGGGGGAAAAAAAAAAAAAAAGACCATGCAAAATTTGCAAGTCTAAAGCTGAGGCCCAAGGAAGGGATGATCACCAGCATCACATCCCATTCTCCTTTTAAGCAACAAACAGGCAAGGGATTGTTTTTTGTTTTTTTTTCCAAACTGGTTACTTTTTATTCTAACTGACATGATTATGTCTGGAACAATGTTATTGGGGAAAAAACAAAAACAAAAACTTGATAATCAAGGCAAACAGGCAAGATGGATATGACCAGTAGTCAACTCCTTGGTGTCTAAGCACTTGGAGCCAAACAAAAATAAAAATCCCAGCCAACTTTGCAGGTTATAACAGTATGCACAGCATGACCATATATCCCAAGAAAACAGGACACCATGCCAACATTGCATTTTATACTATCCCAGCGATATCAGGTTGAAACAAAAAATAATAATAAATAATAAATAAAAATAAATCGAGTAAAATGGACATATTAACTCCCTGATGAGAAAGCCCTCTCTCCCAGGCTATA